AAGAACACAAACCACAAAAACAAAAATGTAATATATTGCAGCTTGTCCTTTTGGTGTCAGCATTGGTTTTCCTTTTTCGGGCTTTTTTCCATTTCAGTCCTGCAAATAACAAACTCTGTGTCACTGGGGGGCAACAAATACTTATATCTATAGAGAAAGCCATGTTGCTACCCAAGGTGGACTTCAAACATGTCTGCCTTTGTTCATCTCCATTACATAGGCTCTGTTCACACCTAGGCGTATCAAATATGCGCGTCTGTCGTGCGTTTCGTGACGCACGTTTTTACCGCGATTCGCGGTAATAAAACCGTGCGACAAATGCGCGTTTCCGAGGGCTACTTGGCTGTATCCCAATGGAAACGCGTGACAAAAATGCCGCAAAGAAGCCCGTTCAGACGGGCTGAAATATAGCAAGGTGTGAACCATACCCATAGAAAACAATGGGATTTTCATGTTGGAGCATTTTGTAGAGCGTTCGTAGAGCGTTGAACGCGATACAAAACGTACAGGTGTGAACCAGGCCATAGTGGCTAATAGAAGTAGTAGTTTGTAGAAGAAAGGTAATGTTGTTTGTGCTTTCTGTGAAGCTTCCAGGAAGCGACAAGGACATGTATTTAAAATATTTATAGCCTGTGTAGAGACCCTACCCCCATGCTTGTCTGCTTGTTGCCAGGCTTTAAACAGCTTGAGCATGTGTATATTTTTTCCAGGCTCTGCAGGTGTTTCCTAAGCATAGTGGTTTGTTTGCTTCTGCTTTTTACAGTTCCAGTAATTAGGGTAGGATGGACAATCACTGAATTATGAAAATGTATCTGACCCAACAATTTCCTGAGGTCCTTGTTCAGAGGTATGGTTTGGGAAGATGAAAAAATATTTCCACAGCCACCTTTGCAGAGTGTTCTTGACCTCCTGGTCTTCTGCCTGGTCAGGATGTGTGCCCAGAAGGATCTTTACTTGGGCCTTGCCTCAGCCTTGGGCATGTGCTAGCAGGCCAGGGATTTCAGTAGTGGATATCAGTAGTAGATATCTAAAGGTGGCTGGGCTTGCAAAGAATCTTCTTGCCGAAGAGTGTTGCAAAGGAGCTGGGTACAAGCTACTGCTGGACATCACTCAGCAGTCAATGTATCTTTGACTGCTGTTAGAGGGTAAAGATTTACATTTTAGAGGGATCCACTGCGACTCAGGAAGGACTGTGACTGCTGGCTGCTCTCACAGTAATACTCAAGAGACAATTCTTAAAGGCCTGCTACTTCAGAATACCTGTCCTATTTTTGGGTACCCTGCACCCTAAACCCACTCTCCTAAAGGTTTTTTCTCCATAAGTTCACAAATAAAAGATACAACTCCTTATATTTTTCAGGGGACCACTTGTGGTACTAACATCTTAATAGTTCCAGCCACTTTTTATGTATAGATTAAAGTGAATTAGACCTTTGTTTTTTGTTTTTTTTGGTTTCTTTTTTTTTGGGGGGTTGTATCCTATGCCTCTAGGCCCCTCAGCACCTGCCATGTGCTGAGGCCCAGGCCATTTGCTCTGCATCACACACAGTCCTCCTAGGGCGAGGCCCCCAGGGGTAAGAGAGCTCTCCACAATGTCCCCAGACCTTTTAATACCTGCCCTCAACCATGCCTCTGAGTCATCCTACTCAGGGATTGGCTAGGGCCAGGTGCATAGTCATAACCTGAGGATGGATCCTCCCTCACTGTATGCCAAGGCTCCCTTTTCCTCAGCAACAGGAGGAACAATCAATCCAGCAGATTCAGGGACACCTATAGAATGCAGAGCTCTGTATAATCAGTATCTAGACTGGTTACAGTCCAGGTATCTCTAAATTGAATAGCGACATTTTAGAGGGCGCTACAAAAATAAAAAAGTTATACAGGTAAAAACCTACCTGTGCCTCCGCTGCTCACTACATTCTGAAGATTCTCGAGCGGCTGTAAAGGATCATGGGGTGGTACCATGTGCAGTTGAGATCTTCGGACGGGAAAGAGGAGAGACACATGGTAAATCAATGCACGCAGCGTGCACATGGACAGACACCATGGGAGACAGGAGTCTGCGGTGGTTCAGACTTTAACGTCACTTTAAGGACATTTTAGGTACCCACAATGCAACAGATTGTTTTAGAATAAAAATATATCCTTTATTTTACATTTTATGCCACATGCCACACTGGCCATCAACAGGTGTTTTGCTGGCCTGTGTGTGGTTTACTTTCATTGTTGGCCCGAGGTTCATCCGGTAGGTTTTAACAGACCTTCTGAAAAAGGTGGCTTGTGTTCAACGTATAGATTGTATCAAGTAAGCATAATGTAATCTGATATGTATAACATCATATGTAATATTATCATATAACTGTTGTATGATACATTTGTGGTATTCTTGTATACCTATTGTGGTCTGTATACCATGCTTGAGGAAGCGGATTTATTCCTGCAAAACGCGTAGACTATGCTCCATCCAGGGTATCCAGTTTATCAAAAAAACAAAGCAGCCAACAAATATTTCTCCTCTCAGGTCTGAATGTCCCAGGGGTTGATTTATTAATAACCTTTTTAAAAGACAGAAGGGCTGCTCACAAACGTAGCGACATGTAAGAGGTTTCCAAAATGAGCGATGGATAATATAAGTAATCCAGATGAACTTTCCCAGTCCTCAGTCTGGGTTAGTGAACACCGACATCGGCTGTGATAGTAACGGTTAAAGGAGAACTATGGGGTTAGGGCTTTTCCCCATAGTTCTCCTAAGGGTCACGGGAGAACACAAACTGGCGTTCTCCCGTGACCCAAAGCTCAGTATACTGAGACGCCGTAGCCGGGACGGACCCCGACAATACTGTCTGGATCCACCCAGCTGCAGGATTGACAGCTGGCTCTGCCTATCCAGAGGCAGAGCCAGCTGTGCCCGCCCCCTCCCCCTGTCCGTTTCGTCCAGTAAGCTCTGGAGGATCAGACAGGGGAGGGGGGAATCCCTGCAGGGAGCCGTGAGTGACAGTCACGGCTCTCTGCAGGGATAGATTAAGAAGTGAGCAAGCGCTGGTATGTGTTTGCTCACTTCGCGATCTACTGAGCCGACCTGTGACAGTTTCATTGTCACAGGTCGGCTCAGATTATGAGGCTGAGTGAAAATCACTCGCCTCATAATTCTCATTTAACACGTTTCCCGGGGCACGTCCCTTTCATCAGAACAACAGTTATATGATAATATAGTTATATGATAATATTACATATGATGTTATACAGTACATATCACATTACATTATTCTTACTTGTACATTATTCTTTCTTGTATTATCCATCGCTTATTTTGGAAACCTCTTACATGTTGCTACGTTTGTGAGTAGCCCTTCTGTCTTTTAAAAAGTGAATTAATAAATCAACAGTACTTCACAGGATGGGTGCTCTTTTCTGTCTGTTTGTTTGTTTCGTTGCATTTTCAGTTTATCAATCAAATGCAATATGCATCTGTGTAGAATAGTTTTATATTGAGTAAGAACAATTGAGGGATGATCGGATCTGAATGGTCTAGGGCGGATATATGTATATAAGCCCCAGTCATTCTTTCATAAAATACATAAATAGTTATTTGCTTTGGTGCATTTTTCACTGGAACTTGCTTAGCTTGTCTTCTGATTTGGTGGTCTACCTAAAGCCTATCAACACCAGCCTGTCCATGTGTGGGTGTCTTAATTGCCTGCCATCTCCTCCTGTGACCCAATTTCACCCCACACAGGCATATTCGTCATGTCTGCCATTGCACACAGCGAAAACAATGTTGCTTTTAAAGCATGATGTCATTTTGCTATGGCATCATCCTGGACATCTAGGGAGGGGGAAAAGGATGCTACAAGTCTTCCTGACATTTATTACATTCTCCTCTTTCTTCAGGTCTTCTGTTCTTGTTTATGAGGTCCCCGTGCCTCCAGTTAGTTCAGGGGCCACAATGTTTTCATCATAAAATATTGAATCTGTCATGATGTAAGGATTATACTAAAGCGTATCAATTCTACAAAGGGTAGGGGAAGTAGACTTGTTTACAAAGATGAAGGTTACAGTGTACAGTTTGCATTATGTGAAGATTGAGCCTTTTTCGAAATTAAAGCTGCACTCGTTCAGATATACAAGGCACCGATTCATGCAGCTCTGGAATCATTACTAAATCATTGAATCGTTTTTTTAAATTCAAATTCTATTTAAATTGGTATTAGACACTTCTTAGGCAGTCCATGCTCATCAGAGCTCAGAGAGGGGAAGGGAGTAGCAGCAAGTGAGGTATGCTAGGAGCATTCTGATAGGAGGAGAGTGCAGAATGACAAAGAGATGTGCTCATCAATGTGCTGCTTCCTCTTTCGCTCTCTGGTCACAGGGTGGGAAGGAGACCGGTAAGTGAAACTGAGATAGATCAGGTCCTTTATGGTTTTTATGTATGTAGTTATCTGTTTGTCTGGAAGTCCGCTTTAACACCAGTACTGAAATGAATTTTTACAAATGAATATAAATATTTGTGTAATATAGCCACACTTACTTAGTAATGCGCGTTAAAGAAGTTGTAAAGTTCCAGCATATACCCTCCTGTTATATTATCAGCATTGTAATAGGAATGCATACCAGGGTTGTTTCTGATAATACTATCAAAGCTTACTTGTAAGAATCCCTTTTATGTAATGAGCGCTGCCTTCTGTCTGCCCATCACTTCCAACAACTACCTGGATTCCCTGTGTGCTTTGCGTCTCTTTCCCTGCTGCTTGATGGGATGCAATCTCCATTTCCTAAGACTGCATATCCCATCATGCATTGCTTCCAGCAAGCAATGATAATGTTACTTTGTTCAGACATTAAGTTGTAGTTCAGAAGGCAGGCTGTGTGAGGGTGGTTGTTAGGAGTGGGATATAACTTATGGAAATTCAATATACAAATACAGGTTTATTTATAATTTTTGACCATAGATCCCATTTAATTCTCTCTGACATGCTGTCTGCTGTCCGTTTTCTGTTTAGACTTGGATGTGGATTTCAGCTCCCCTGTGCTTGTACTGTACAGAAAGGTTATACAGATATTTCCGTAGCACTAAACCTGTGACCATTAGTTCCGTTGTTCTTCATCCATGTGATGTCATTGAAATCAGGATGATAAAAGATAACTTCAAAGCCAGTCCTGGTCAGGTAAGTAAATGAATTGGTTTCATTGCTAGTTACAGTGTCAGGCTTTGTAAACAGAACTTTGAGCCACATTTACAATCAATAAGTGATTTACAATCAATAAGTGCTCAGCACAGGGGGCCACTTGGAGACATGGGGCACACGGGCCCATTTGGAGACATGGGGCACACAGGGGCACACTTGGAGACATGGAGCATACATGAAGACTCAGGACTTAGCAGGAGACATGGAACCCACAGAGATGCACCTAGAGACACAAGAGCATACAGGGTACACTTGGAGACATGAGGCACACAGGGGCCACTTGGAGACATGGGCTGGATGGGGGCCTCAGGCTTTGTAAACAGAACATTGAGCCACATTTACGATCAATAAAAAGGAACACTTGAAGACATGGGGCACACAGGGGTACATTTGGAGACACAGGGCACAAAAGTGGATAACTTGAATACACAGGGCCCAATTAGAGACATGGGGCACACAGGGATGCACCCGGAGAAATGGGGGGCCCAACTTCAAGACACAGGTCACACGGGGGCACACTTGGTGACATGAGGCACACATAGAGACATAGGGTTTACTAGGAAACATGGAAACCACAAGGTTGCACCTAGAGACACAAGGGAGCCAAGGGATGCACTTGGTGACATGGATTGCACAGGGGCACACTTGGAGATGTGGAGTGCACCAGCGCACACTTAAGGCACAGGAAACACTTCAAGGCATGGGGCGCACAGGGGCACACTTGGAGACACGGGGCATCTCAGAAACTGCTGTCTTCCTGCAATTCTCACAGACTACAGCCTCCATAGATTACAATGAATGGTGTGTAGCGCTCACCCCCGTCAGTGTTCTTCCAAGGATTGTGGAGATGTACTTCACGAAGATAAGATCTGGTGAGTCTGGAGCTATGGAGGCCAGTGCACCTAGACCCTATACCCTCTCTGATGGGCGCTACAGGTGCATAAGCATCCAGAAGGTTGCAGGTCTGTAGAGTTAAGTAAGATGTTGATAATACAGGCATAAAAACAAAGTCCGGACTTTAAGGTGAAAGAAAATCTGTTCCATTATCCTAATTCAAGTGTTACTATATTTCAAATACCAATTTTAGGGGGATTTAATCAATAACAGCCCATATATGTCTATGATAGGTTGATATCAAAGGAGATATGTTTTTTAAATTGTAAGGTGTAACTAAACATCTGAAGTGGACAGCTTCTTCTCTCCTGAGTTCCGGCAGTCTAAGGGCCACTGACGTCATTGTGCCTTGTACTGATCTGTTGTCCTGACTCCTGCATTAGATGTGAGGATGCCGAAGGACATTCCATAGCCAGAGTTTAGATGAAGTGAGGTCAGCGCTCAGGATCCTGACATCCGAGGATCTTAGAAACATAACTCCAGTAAGTAATACTCCTAAAGTCCACAAAGGTCAGAAATACTAACCATCCTTCAATTCTGCTATGGGCTGAGCTGGCTAGTCTAGTGGTTCTACACAAACTCTGACCCTTCTTAGCAGGGATCACATGGCCGATGTCCTAGTATTTAAATCACATGACTGGCGTCTGCCGGGAGAAGAATTCAAAATTTCTGGAAGAATGGTTGTTGTGACCCCCCTGAATGCTTTGTCCTTTTTCTTTGGGATACAGTTGTTCTAAGGGAGCCTTATGTTTACAATGTAGGTTCATATTTCCTCTTTAGATTTTACAGGCTGGCTATGTCTCCTACACATATAGTAGAAATGCGTGTACTTTTTATTTTTACAGTACGTCATTTTGCACTGTCCCAAAGTGTCTGCACTGGAGAACCATCCATTCACGCTGACAATGGTAAGAGGTCATTTTGTTGTAGCTCAATAATTATTTGTCAATTATGGTCGTTTATATGATGTCAGAGTTCATTAAGTAAAATTGAGGCGGTCACTGTGAGGACTTAGTTATATAGGTAACGCATGTCAGAAATCATAGGTCATTGATTAATCACCTGTCATTCATCATTGATTGTTACAGTCATTGGCATAAACCTCCCCATTGGCTTGTCCTGAGACATCTAAAGATTGCGGGACACTGGTTCATGATTGCTCACTATTGATCAGAGAAAGTTGTCCAAAATGAACATTTATGTGGCAGTCATGGAGATTGCAATTGTTGAAATTAGGCCCCGTTCACACTGTTCCACCATGCCTCGCCTTTGTGCACATTTTGCCATGCATCAGCCCATTCATTTGTGTGCTAAATTAAAAGCACCCAGCGGGAGAAGAACCTAGTAATTCTGGTAAGTGGGGTGGTTTGAGGGTGGGGAGCTGAGGAATGTGACCGTGTTTTTATAGGTGTAACATGGAACATGGTCTGGAAGGTGGAGTAAGGTTTTAACATGCTTCCCCCATCCAGTTTGTTTTCTCATGGACCAAAAGGTGGACAGTGGCTGTCATTCCCCTACCCTGCGCCTGCCCCGGGATATGCAAGCTCCATCAGTCTTAGTTTCAAGTGGGGGTGGGGAAGGGTGCACACATTGGCATCCTCAGTGCTGGGATAGGCAACCTTTAGAAGTCTTCAAAGGCCTAGGTTTGAAAGGTTGTGTTAGGAGAACGCATTGACATCTTCAGGCAACCACTTAGAAGTCTTCAAAAGTCCAGTTATGGTAGGCCATGTTAGTTGAACATGTTGGCATCCTCAGTGCTTGGATAGGCAGCCACTAGGGGTATTCAAAGCTCCATTTATGATAGGTTATTGCAAAATAGCACGTTGGCATCCTTAGTACTGAGATAGGTAACCACTTAGCAGTCTCCTATGGTCCAGTTATGATAGGTCATGTTAGGAGAACACATTTTTATCCTTAATGCTGGGATAGGCAACCAGTTAGCAGTCTCCAAAGGTCCAGTTATGATAGGTCATGTTAGGAGAGCATGTTGGCATCCACAGTGCTGGGTTGGAGAACCACTTAGAAGTCCTCAACGATCCAGTTATGATAGGTTTTGTTAGTAGAACCATTTTCAAAAATGTGTCATTTACAACCACTGTAAGCATATATAACATTCACCGATCCTTTCAGGGAACTCAAAATGAAAACACAGAACAGAACAAACACACCAATAATGCTGGGTGCATTTCAGCATTGTTTAATTGATAATGAATGGTGAGCACTGAGGAAAATAATTGTAGTTATTTTCATCTCCCATTCTGGATCTTAGAAAGCACTTCTCCAGATGTGTTTTCTGGGTCATTATTTTCCCCTGGGCTGTAGTAGGTAATAGTTTTTTCAGTCCATTTTTTATTATGTTACTCATGACTGAGTACAGCCTAACCTGCTGTACTGAGTAATTATATTTATTTCACCGCAGACATCCCGTGGTGTTAAATACAATAAATATAATAGACTGATGACATTTATTGACACTAATGGATGCTGGAACATAACCACAGTAAAAAAAAAAATCTTCATTTATTTCATTATTTTCTGCAGCACAAATGTATTTTGTAAATGTAGAGAGAGAACTGTAATATGTTTTAGCAGGAAAATCACATTTACAATTGTTTAGTGTTTAAAGGAAAGTTCTGGTCTGATAGAAAAGTCAGATATTGTAAGATAAGGAGCTTTTAAACTTACTATTCCATATAGGACCTAATTTGTTGTCCATGTTCTAGGAGTTGGGTGTTCTGTATCTGTTCTGTTCTGCCCCTGTACTTCAGTTTATTCTGATTGACAACACAGTAGACATGTAAGCTGTGGAAAAATTCGGTTCAGATATTACGTTATTTCGGCATGCGGATCCGAAATTCAATTTGGTTCGGGTTTCAGGTTCGAATGAAAACCAAATTTTCTTTCGTTTCGGATGAGTTTACGAATATTCGTCGCGAGTACCACAGAAAAACATATACAGATATTAATACTAAAGTTGAGGATCCCAGACCCGAATTGCATTCGGGAGTCCGAATTCCCAAATACCATTCGTGAGCTCCAGAAAGCAATACGGGTATGGGAGCCATATTAAAGCTGAGTCTTCCAGACCCGAATGGCTTTCGGGAGCTCTCGAATGCTGTTTGGAAATTCAGACTCCATTGAGGTCTTGGAGCATCAGTTTTAGTATTTTGTATACATTAGTATTCTATAATATGAACAAATATTCGTAGCGGCAACATTGTGATCCATATATACATAAATGCAATTCGAGAATTCGGATTCAGACCCCTGTGGATGGATTAAATCGAAAAACACATCTGATTGGCCAGAAAAGTCACATGTGCAATTCAATTTAATTTTTTGAATGAAATTTGGACGGGATCCGAAATTTGGAAACGGTCATTCGGATTCGGACGCATTTAGATGCATTAGGATTCGGATGTGTCCAAATGTAAGAATTTTGATTCGGAATGAAACAAAACGCACATGTTTACATGTGAACCCAAAAAACTCAACTGTATCACGTGATCCCATGTGTTGGATCTTCTGGTAGCAGTGAACGTTGCTCTCTGCTCCTCAGCCGAACGGCCTTGTGGTCATTGTATCCCCTCATGGCCTTATGCTGGAAGCAGTGGCGTATCAATGGTCATAGCAGCCCATTCGGCTGCTATGGGGCCTGGGGTAGGAAGGTGCCCCATCAGGGGCTGATTAGGGATTAGGGCAGTAGAAGCATTTGCTTATCTATCTTAGAAGTGCAGATTTATTGCCCTCTGAACATCTGCTACAGACTGAGATTAACCCTGTATGCGTAATGCAGTCACTAATCCCAGAGGCTCACCTCTTTTAAAACCTTATAGGGGGGTTGAGGTTTGTGGTTCTACAAAAAAAGAAGTTTGTATTAGGGTTGAAGAGTAAGTGTGTGCAAGACCAATATTCATTTTCTCATAATATAATATATAATTCTGGTTCTTAGTATTAGAGCTACTATAACTTTTACTCCCTGCCCTGCTCACTAGTAGTGTACTAACTGTGCTGACAGCTCTCCTGGATTAATTGATACATACTTCATGTTAAGATCAATTACGCATATTATCACGTTGATGTCGCCAGCCGCTACAGAGAGAGTTAGGAGGGGAGCCCCAAAGTTTTGTTATAGGGCCCCATGATTTGCAGTTACACCCCTGGCTGGAAGGCTTCAGAAGACTCCAACACTAAAGGGCAACATACACATCATCAGGATGTGCTGTGGGCACTGCAGACTATACCCTCCAAAACAGGAGGAGGAAAACTTGGGACATGGCCTTCCACATGGCAGCAGTTTTAGGTAAATACTTGGAGCTTTTAATTAGATTTTGGTATTTTAATGCAAAACTAGTGAGGTAAGGTGGAAGATGGGTGTTTTTTATCCCTGAAGATCAGCTGTAAGGGCTTATGCACATGGCACATTGAGGCATACCACGTAAAAATGTTGGCTTTTTTCTGCAACCGGAAAGCCCAGGTGCTGTGTCCAGCAACCCATAGACCTGAATGGCTATGTGTGGTTGTAAGCAAGCATATAGCAATACTCACATAACCCTGCATGTAGAGACATATTCCCCAAATGCAAGCTTTCTGCATTCAGGGAATATGTCCGTACACAGCACTCAGGTATATGCTGGCACTCGCGTAATCCCGCATATGGCGTACGGACATATTTCCCATTCACTCATGTCTATTAATACCTATAGTTGACCGTATGCACCAGCAGGGTTTAGTCGTGTATATCCGTGTATAGTGTGCGGATGTATTCCCCGTCCATTCATGTCTATTTAAACCCATGGGCTCCTGTCTATGTATGCATCAGCTGGGCTTCCAGGGCACAGAAAGCATGAATTTTTACGTTGTATGCCCCAAAATTCCCTTGTGCATGAGCCGTAAAGAGACATGGTTGCTTCTCCTATCCTAAAGACACAACTCCTAATGGAGCAACAGAGTGATGGGGAAACAAGGCAAAGGTGGATATGTTGTAAAGCGCTGCACAAACTGTTGGCGCTATATAAATCCTGTGTAATAATAGTATGTGGGTTAGGGAATGGCATTTGAGACTCTGTCACTTTTCACCTGTTGGAAGTAACTGGAATTGGAAGTCATTCAGTTAGAGTTTACTTTAACACTGTTACCATTGGTTATAAGGACAGTTACTCTACTACATATGTGCGTATGCAACACAGGTCATGTCCTCAAAATAAAAAAGTCAGCGTTATGTCCTGTATACTAAAATGATAAATTTTCTTTTGAAAGTGCTAGCAAAAATGGCTACAAGAAGAATGATCAGTCTGATTCGCAAACATACACAGCTGCTGTTTCACTGCCTGGCCAATCTGCATAATCAAACACTCACTAATTGCAAGAGGCTTTGATTTAGAGGCATCTTGATGCGCGATCTGGCCATGTTTTTTCTTCGAATATCAAGGAAAAGCCAAGCTGAATGCTTTCCACTTGAGTATGAGATTTTTTTTTTTCATCTATCAGAGATAGATGTTGAACACATCAAATTTATTGCTTCATTAAAAATGCATTGGGTGAAAAACCGCAAAAGCATAAGTAAATTATTTTAATAGGCCGTGCTATACGACAGTGCGGTCTGATTAAACTGGTGTGTAGCTTCATGTACACAGGAGTTTGTTGAAAGGATAATTCTATACTGAGGGTGCCAAATGAATATATATTAGCCCAAGATAAATTTACTGAAACATTGGTGCACAAATCAGACAGCCAGAACAGGGATTAAGGGCCCATTGAGACTGTTGTGGTGCATTACAACATGCATGTTAATGAACGTAAAGGCTCTTGTGGCGGCCTTCCTTAGTATCTATTCCTAGAAGATCTTACGCAGCATCTTACAGCCAGATAGAGAAATAATACTCTGGCAACACTCTCCTTATCCCATGTTTCCAGGAAATTTCAAGCAGTTTCCATCAGCTAGATCTGAAAATGAATCATGTGGCAACACCATCCTTTCTTAGGAAATCCCACACAGTATTAATCAGCTAAAAAAGATAATCAAAACTCTGGCAAGACCTTCCTCAGGTTTTCCCTCCCAGGGAATCCAACACAGTCTCCAACAGCCAGATGTGGAATGATAGTTCTGATGAGACCCTCCTTAGCCCCTGCTTCTTGGGAATTCCACACAGTCTCCATCAGCTGGATGTGAATATAACTTGGTTAGACCCTCTTCAGCCCCTGCTCCTAGAGAATCCCACACAGTCTCCATTCGCCAGATGCGGAAATGAATACTCAGATAAGACCTTCTGTGGCTCCTGCTTCCAGGGAATTCCAAACTGTTCTCTTCTAATTGGTGTTTAGGCAAATGACATACCTCTTGAGGCCCAGTCTGTTCAAACAATAAGGCAACTTGCTGACTTAAGATACAAAGGCATTGTCAACTCAGAATGAAATCTAATGTAGTATAAACCTGTTTGGCATGTTACAAATATTGGTTTGCAGGTGAAAAACGTTTGGTCACAAAGCCTCCTGACTCCCTAAAATGCAAGGGTGAAACACGTACTAAACTTGGAGCATGGAGAGGCTAGGAGTTACTAACTAAGGGCAGGTTTAACTAACACAAACAGAAGGATAAAGAGAGGAACTCTAAATGCACATAACTGATAATAAACCGACTACTGTGACAGCACACAAACTCCATCAGTAATATCTGGTAATAATGAAAACTCTGGCAAGACCCTCCTTAACCCTTGCTCCCAGAGAATTTCATACATCCTCCATCAGCCAGATGTGGAAATAAATATTCTGGTGAGACCCTTCTTAGACCATGCTCACAGGGAATGTCATGTAATCTTCATTATCCAGATGAGGAAATGAATACTCTGGTGACAACCTCCTTAGACCATGCTCCCAGGGAAATACCATGTAGTCTTCATCATCCACATGTAGAAACTAAGAATACTCTGGTGAGACCCTTCATAGACAGACATTTGGTCTGGTGCTCCTGTTGTATTCCTGTACACCTTACAATCTGAGTATTGAGACTCCTACCTTAAGAAAACATGTATTTTATATACATTGAGATGGACCCTCATGCAAAATAGTTGTTTATAAATCTAAAATATAATATACAATTAGTGGGTGGCCAGTTCTACAGGAATAACCTCCAAATATATATTTTGGACCTAAAGAGTTCTGAATTTTTAAGAATCCTCCTACAGTCATTTAAGAATTAATAGCTGTTATGGTGTTCTTCGTGATTACATGTTTGCTCACACCTGGCTATCACATCTTTATGAGCTTGTTGGACATCCCAATCCAAAACCTATTATGGTTGTAACACTCTTCACTATTCCGGAAGATTTTTCACAAAAGTGTGTTTGTGTGAATTTATGCCTGCTCAGCTACGAGAGCATTTGATAGGTCAGATAATAGGTCAAATAGTGATGTTAGACCAGAGAACCTGGCTTACAATGACTTTCCAATTCATCCCAAAGGTGTTCAATAAGGTTGAAGACAGGGCCCTGTGAAGGGTACTCAAGTTCCTCCACAAGAAAATCATCAAACCATGTCTTTATGAAGCTGGGTTTGAACATGAGGCCAAAGTTGTGCTGGAACAGAAAATGGCCTTTCCCAAACTGTCACCACAATATTGGAAATACACAAGTGCCTAAAATGCCTATAAATGCTGTGGTGTTAACAGTACCTTTCAATGGAAACACCTAAACTCAATAATTTGGAGGGATGTTCACATTAATCTGTGTATTAGTAATATAAAGCGAACAAGAACCAGCAATCAGAATGTGCTTTTCTGTTGCTTAGGGTGAGCAGTCCATTTCAAGCTAGTTTATATTATGCACTTCTATAATATTTGCACTGACTGTTTTCCATTCTACTTTAATTTGATTTGACTTTATTTTAATTTCAGTGTCCTACGGAGACAAAAGCGACCTTTGCTGTTCACATAAAGGTTGTGGGAGACTGGACAGGTAGGTGCCACATTTTGCAAATTCTTAATGTTCATTTTAACATTGACATATGGGTCAACATTACTAGATGAATTCCCCTAAAAACATGGCAAAGTATAAATACTGATCTTCCTCATTTATGCTCAAAAGCTCCAACCCAAACCACCTGAACTGGGGACTTTCACAATGACCTTCCTCAGGTTTTCCCTCCCAGGGAATCCAACACAGTCTCCAACAGCCAGATGTGGAATGATAGTTCTGATGAGACCCTCCTTAGCCCCTGCTTCTTGGGAATTCCACACAGTCTCCATCAGCTGGATGTGAATATAACTTGGTTAGACCCTCTTCAGCCCCTGCTCCTAGAGAATCCCACACAGTCTCCATTCGCCAGATGCGGAAATGAATACTCAGATAAGACCTTCTGTGGCTCCTGCTTCCAGGGAATTCCAAACTGTTCTCTTCTAATTGGTGTTTAGGCAAATGACATACCTCTTGAGGCCCAGTCTGTTCAAACAATAAGGCAACTTGCTGACTTAAGATACAAAGGCATTGTCAACTCAGAATGAAATCTAATGTAGTATAAACCTGTTTGGCATGTTACAAATATTGGTTTGCAGGTGAAAAACGTTTGGTCACAAAGCCTCCTGACTCCCTAAAATGCAAGGGTGAAACACGTACTAAACTTGGAGCATGGAGAGGCTAGGAGTTACTAACTAAGGGCAGGTTTAACTAACACAAACAGAAGGATAAAGAGAGGAACTCTAAATGCACATAACTGATAATAAACCGACTACTGTGACAGCACACAAACTCCATCAGTAATATCTGGTAATAATGAAAACTCTGGCAAGACCCTCCTTAACCCTTGCTCCCAGAGAATTTCATACATCCTCCATCAGCCAGATGTGGAAATAAATATTCTGGTGAGACCCTTCTTAGACCATGCTCACAGGGAATGTCATGTAATCTTCATTATCCAGATGAGGAAATGAATACTCTGGTGACAACCTCCTTAGACCATGCTCCCAGGGAAATACCATGTAGTCTTCATCATCCACATGTAGAAACTAAGAATACTCTGGTGAGACCCTTCATAGACAGACATTTGGTCTGGTGCTCCTGTTGTATTCCTGTACACCTTACAATCTGAGTATTGAGACTCCTACCTTAAGAAAACATGTATTTTATATACATTGAGATGGACCCTCATGCAAAATAGTTGTTTATAAATCTAAAATATAATATACAATTAGTGGGTGGCCAGTTCTACAGGAATAACCTCCAAATATATATTTTGGACCTAAAGAGTTCTGAATTTTTAAGAATCCTCCTACAGTCATTTAAGAATTAATAGCTGTTATGGTGTTCTTCGTGATTACATGTTTGCTCACACCTGGCTATCACATCTTTATGAGCTTGTTGGACATCCCAATCCAAAACCTATTATGGTTGTAACACTCTTCACTATTCCGGAAGATTTTTCACAAAAGTGTGTTTGTGTGAATTTATGCCTGCTCAGCTACGAGAGCATTTGATAGGTCAGATAATAGGTCAAATAGTGATGTTAGACCAGAGAACCTGGCTTACAATGACTTTCCAATTCATCCCAAAGTTGTTCAATAAGGTTGAAGACAGGGCCCTGTGAAGAGTACTCAAGTTCCTCCACAAGAAAATCATCAAACCATGTCTTTATGAAGCTGGGTTTGAACATGAGGCCAAAGTTGTGCTGGAACAGAAAATGGCCTTTCCCAAACTGTCACCACAATATTGGAAATACACAAGTGCCTAAAATGCCTATAAATGCTGTGGTGTTAACAGTACCTTTCAATGGAAACACCTAAACTCAATAATTTGGAGGGATGTTCACATTAATCTGTGTATTAGTAATATAAAGCGAACAAGAACCAGCAATCAGAATGTGCTTTTCTGTTGCTTAGGGTGAGCAGTCCATTTCAAGCTAGTTTATATTATGCACTTCTATAATATTTGCACTGACTGTTTTCCATTCTACTTTAATTTGATTGACTTTATTTTAATTTCAGTGTCCTACGGAGACAAAAGCGACCTTTGCTGTTCACATAAAGGTTGTGGGAGACTGGACAGGTAGGTGCCACATTTTGCAAATTCTTAATGTTCATTTTAACATTGACATATGGGTCAACATTACTAGATGAATTCCCCTAAAAACATGGCAAAGTATAAATACTGATCTTCCTCATTTATGCTCAAAAGCTCCAACCCAAACCACCTGAACTGGGGACTTTCACAAGAATTGCAGACAAGGACTCTTTGTACAAATGCTTTAGGGACCAAATGGCCATATTAGATATTAACCAACAGTTATTCTCTATAGTAATAAAGGTATTTAAAGGATGACTCATAAATATTTCAAATAAGTTGGTGAGTTGCATTAAAGCAACTGTAAGTTAATATAATATGCCCAAAGGATAACATTTAAAATATTAACAATGACTTACAAAGCCATCCACAACTCTGTCCCCAGCTATATCTCAAACCTTGTCTCAAAGTATCATCCTAACAGTCCCCTTCGCTCTTCAAAAGACCTCCTGCTTTCCAGCTCCCTCGTCAACTCCTCCCATGCTTGCCTCCAGGACTTCACTAGTGTCTCTCCCATCCTCTTGAACTCTTTACTCCAACCTGTCCGTCTGTCTCCCACTCTGATTTCCTCTTTTACGATCCCTTAAGACTCATCTCTTCAGGGAAGCCCATCCCGCCTCAACCTAACCACTCAACCATTAAGTTCTCAGACAATTCATCCCCACACAGCTGCCTCCTCATGTATCACTGGCCCCTCCCTTTTAGATTGTAAGCCCTCAGGGGCAGGGCCCTCCTTACCATCTTGTCTTGAATTGTATTGTGATTGTAATGTCTTCCTTATATTGTAAAGCGATGTGCAAACTGTTGGTGCTTTATAAATCCTGTATAATAATAATAATAATAATATCAGGCTGGCAGGAGGAGTGGCGGCTCTGTAAATTGATAGGTAGGGGGTAGTGTAAAACAAGTCTCTACATACATACATGCAATCATATTTTTGATTGAAGGTTTTCTTCAAGGTGATTTTGCTACTTTTCCCACTCATTGTACCACTACCATAAGAATACAGGGTATGTAGTACATGCTGTAGGATGAAGTATATATTGGAGTGGATGTTACTGAGTAGGTTTTTTTGAGATGCTTACCACTAGCAGTAACACCCACAGAAGCCTGATACCGACACTGCTTTTAGTCCCAAAGAGCAGGGGGTGTGTCCATGTCTATGACTGCCTGGGCTCACAGGAAGGGGTTGGGTTGGGTGTCATGTGGTTAGGAAGTGGATCAGAACTTCATGAAGAGCAAGGATGCTTAGAAGATTACATTGGTGTGGATAGCATAAGTATTTAATTGCAAGCTGCAAATATGCCGCATGCTAGACAAAAGGATTCCAAACAGTTTAAAATAACCGAAGTTGGCGTTGGGCTTTAAATACAGGACAAAGGATTTCCAGAGCGGTACGGAAGAGGCAGCAAAGCAAAAGCATGCTGCTTTCAGGTTAGCTCCATCTCACTTACTTTTTATGTATAAATTTCAGCTTTAGCTATTGAGGTATGTTAACAACACTCTCTTTAGAGAAAGAAATTGGCAAAGGAGACATATTACAAATGAGAAAGTATGTACAAAACCACTATACATTCTGTACCAAAAATGTCTCTGTTTTCTGTTGTCCTCCTTAAATACCTTATAAAAACTCAATGGTAAAGAATGGAAAAAAACACATATGCAGTACAGCTCTACAATACATGCACATTTGCCGTGATTTATTCTTTTAAAAAGTGCAAGTGCAGAAAAATACATGTTGATCTGTCAGAAATGTACCCAGCTCCTAATTTTTCTATTGTGAGCATAGCGACATAGTGGTCACTATGTAGCCCAGAAGAAGGGACACTGTGTGGCATCGAGACGTTGGCTGTTTGACACTTGTGACAATTTAATAAAAAGTGCCTATACTTCTTGCAAGCATTATCAAGTGCTGGTGACTTCTATTGCGGACTGTATTTGACACGGCGCCATCCGTGTTGTCACTTTGAGCACCAATTCTTTGTGAAGGTGTATGGAGTGCAATTGATTTCCTGTTTCGATTGCTAGTGAAAATAGACACAGTAAGGCAAGCTCTACTGCCCCTCCCTCCTGCCCTTTCCAGGCTAGTAGATGGACAGTTTGCTGGAGACTGCTCAGTCCCTTGTGATCCTGTACTTGACAGAAATTTCAGGGAAGCTGAGCTGAGAGAGTTGGAGCTAGCCAGTCAGCCCATAGACAGTGGTACCATGAATAGCAGGGTTAGGCAACCATGGCACTTCAGCTATGATAAAACAACAAATTCGGGAGTCATGTCTGAGGCTGTCAGAGTCATGCAATGCCTAATGGGACTTGTAGTTCCAAAATAGCTGGAGGGGCGAGGTTGCTGACCCCTGGTGTATAGTCTGCATCTGAGCTCTGTATCATGTTTTCTAATTTTGATCAGGAGGTTAATACGGTAAACTTAATATAGAAGATTCTGTTATCTGTTAAGAGATTCCATCCACAAAAATACTGGGCTCATTGTTACCTCCAAGTTCTTATCCCCTACCAATTCTTTTTTTTCACTTTCTAAAACATAGCAGATGGTAAGATTGATAATTAGCATACTAAAATCGTTAATTAAACAATTACAGTTTGTGATCACTGACAGCTGTTTACCATAGCTTTGTGTGAGTGCTGCACCGTCTATTGGCAGGAACAGCATAAGTAGCTCAATTTCCAGGTAGGGGAAGTAGTGCCGCGCCGTGCTGTAGAGGATAGACCTGGCTCCGGTGCTCTGTTATGTTCAGTTGGTGTGATTTTCATTGCTTTAATCATTTTGGATGAATTAAAATTATTTAATTTGCTTGGGGATTGGTGGGCATTTGAGGTAGCGCTTCAAGCAGGCATTTAAAAAACGAGAGAGGTTTTGTTTTGTGTGCAAGAGCAGCCATGTCATGGGC